ACACTTCACATGCTTTCCCCATTAGCGTGTGGAAAGTCATAGAGGAAGGAAGTACGTTAGTTTCTCTCTTGATTTTCATATAGATTGAAATCTTTTAACTTGAAAAACTATATGGAACTGAAAACTACATTAAACATACTTCTAAAGAAAAGTATTATGGAAATTTTAAAAAATATTCTTATTAAATAAAAAGGAAAAATATTAAGAAAAGGGAAAATATCGTAGTACATTCCTATACAACTGAAAAGAGGAGGAGAGGGAAAGGAGAAGGGCTAAAGGCATGAAACCGGTCTCTCCCCAGATGGCGTATTCGAGTGTTGCGATCGCGAATATTTAAAACTCAGTTTATTAATTAAACTAAAAGGTAAATGTTATTACTAGTAAGTGGAAGTAGTTGTGCTTTTTTTATATTATACCCTATTCAAAATAAGCTTGAAGTAATTAAAAAAAAAAAAAAAAATTGTATGTAACTGTTAACTGTAAGAAAATGTCCGAAAACGAGAACAATTTGTAAATAAACATTGAAATGCCGAAATTGTTATGCTGAATAATTTTAATTGAGTGTGTCATGTTTTGTATTCATTAGTAAAATTGGTTAATAGTATTTGAAGAAAACTATTTGACAAAGTACAAACAATATCCATCATAATATTTTTTGTTTACGATAGTCAATTTCATTGAAGTTAGTCTTCTATATGTATTGCAAGATCATTAATTTTGAAATAGGAACACAGCACCTTAAGTTTATAATATTTGCATTAAGATTAAGTGTATACAATTATGAGGGTAAAGATTTATGGAGCGCAAATAGCATGACCTTTTGAAGGACATTAAATAATTTATAAATTAATAAAGCTCTTAAATATTAAAATTATTTTTAAATTTAAATACTGAAAAGTGTTTTATAAATTACTATGTTGTGCAAATTATAAAAAGTGTTGTTATTGAAAAAATTACCTTCTGCTTAGTGGATTTAATGCTTAATTTAATGGAATGCACTCTTACTAAATTTTATATATTGTGCATAAAATATTTAAATTTTTAAATTACATCTTTAGTTTTTAATCAAATTTTAGTCAATTGTTTTGAATATATATATTTTTTTTACATAAATTAAAAAAGAAATTGAATTGTTAAAAAATGTAAAGCTCTATGTTACCTGAATTAATGCACCTTTAAGTTGTGAAAAATGAAAGTAATAATTTCAGTTAAAATAGAGAGCAATAGCTGTACTTTTTTTATGGGAAAGCAGCGAGCCACGCATTTGATGGGGAGATTTCCGTATCATGATCTGTGGTAGAATAATCGGCAAGTCTTGGAAACTTTTGGGCAGCGGCCTGCGAGAAACTTAAAAAAAAACATCACAGAAAAGGACCAACTCGTAACCACACCCAGGAAAACATCTACATGTTGTTTTTTTTTAAAAAAAATTTGTAAGTTTAAAATCTATTTTGCAACCTGTCGATTGTATTTGGCGCAACAGATCACAATACGGAAATATCCCCTATTTGATCTCAGTGACGAAATTATTAGGTATCAACTAGATATTTAACTTTTAAAAAAAAAGAGAAATAATATTTCAATCTTCCTATGAAAATTCTATCATTAATTTCTTCTTATATGTAAATTTAAGTTTGTGATATTGAAGTTTCTAATTATAGCATTGTTTGTTTTAGATTACCTAAATTATATAGTTGAGTTTATGTTTCATGTAGAATTATTTGTGTTACTCCTAGAAATAGGAAAGTTGTATGATAAAATGATAAAATTTATTTAATTAGATAAATTATTAATTATGGAAATTCAGAGTTTTAAGATAAATATCAATTGTATTTACTACTTTATTTTATGTTACTTTAGTAGGCATATTAGTTTTTAAAGAATTTTTTTATTGTTTTTAGACTTAGCTAAATACTCAGCAAAACATTATGTTGTCTCATTTCTGGATGTGCCTATGACAATCATTCACTTATTTTCCTATATTTTTTGTTATACCTATTATTTAGATAAATCTAATATTTGTTCAAATTTTTTCCTTAAAATAAGTAATTTAACATTTTTTTTTTTACTTCAAATTTTTAAATTTTATTTGATTTTTCATACTTTATGTATAAAACATTAATAATCTTTAGAAATTTAACATTTTAAGTTTAAAAGCCCCACTTAAATAAAGGTTTAAAAATGTTTAAATTTATTTTCATATTCTACATTTTTTATAAGTTTTTTTTGACTTAGTGGGGGGGGGGCTACATTTTTTTTCTATTTTACTTATATCATGAAGTGGTAAACAAGGTTTTATTTTTTTTCCTGCATTGAAAATAAGAAATTGAAATTTGTATTATTATTTGAAAAAGTTTCTTTTTTTTTTTTTTTTTTTGAAGTTTCATTACTCTCCATATTCCCAGAAATGGCCAAAGGCAAATGCACTATTTACCCTATTTTTCAATTCATGGAAACTACTTTTAATGTTAGTTTAGTAAAGAAACACGGCTCTTGGCAGCTAATTTTTTTAATTTGTTGGGTGCAAATCTCCGTCTATTGATACAATGAAAATGATCTTGTGGTGGCAGCTGAGTGTTAACAGCAATTACGCATTTAGAATCATGTATAACTAATATTTAAAATAGCCATTACGAAAAATAAATCATTAATCACTTAGGTCACACTTTCAAGTGTGAATGTACACTCGTGGAACATTGATGTTATTTAAAAGGGAGGAAATGTGCATTTAATGTACTTAATTTTTTAGAAATAAAGGAGCATTAAACAATTAAAAAATTTCAAGTATTTGATAATTTCACATTTCTTAAATATTCGCTGTCTAGAAAGGCATAAAAAGTTGACGATCAAATTCGGAAAAAAAAAAAAAGCTTTTGGAATAACAAACTGGCTTTTGTAAATATGAATAAATATTTCTTAACCCCTTAACTGCCGCGGGCGTATATATACGTATCGGCAGACGATACGTTAACTGCCGCAGGCGTATATATACAATTTCCCGAAGTACTATGCTTTGCATTGCGCTGCTATAAATAGAACTACACCCCCTACTTCAGAATGCTGTAAAATGACCTAGAAAGTGTTTGCTTTGCGAATGTATTACTAATTTTGGAGGAGAGGGAGTGGGAAAAGGATGTTATGGAAAAGTGATATCGTATTAATCGCTTGTGTGTATTTATTTGAGTAAGGTTGGGTTTATTCTTTTTTCGCTTTCGTTTCCCATATGTATTTGGTGCTTTTTATTCTTTCCATCAACGTCTTCAAGGAAAAATGCGTCGCAAAAATGTGCTGTTTGTTCAAGAAAAAAAAATTCGTTGTGAATCCCGCTATCAGTGCGATGAATGTGATGTTGGTTTATGTGTCCAACCATGTTTCAGGATTTATCATACAACAGCTAAGTTTTAACATCTTTTATATTGTATTTTTATTATTTAATTTAAATTTTGTATTTTCTTTCTTTCCTTTTTCTTGTCTTATAAAAGTAAACTGTTTTTAAATTGCAAAGCGTGCATCATTTTCCCCCACCAAAACACCGTGTAAGAAAGTGCACTTGAGCGAAAAACGCTGGCACTGGGGAGTGAATCGCGTTAATTTTACTCTGCACTTAAGGAGTTAATTATTCCCTTATATTTTGTTATAGTAAAAAATACATTCATTTTGTAATTTTTGGTACACAGCATTACGAAAACTTCACAAAGGGTACAAAAAAGTCATAAGTTTGGGAAACACTGCTGTACAGTAACAACTGATTGTGGTTTTAAAAACAAAGATTTGCTGTCTATCATCAAGATTATTTACATTTGCTGTTTCCTTTGTGAGTGACTGGTTTTTTTCTTACTTACCATTGCTCAGAAGAGTGATGCTTGTCATAATGTTGGAACGAGTTAGCCGAAGGTAATGCCAAGTATCTGGTGACTTTATTTACTATTATCAGCGTTCACTGAGCAGAGTTTAGTGTGCCATGATGCATACATCAGAAAGTTCTATATTCAACTGAATTCCAATCAATCTTGTTTGATGATAATGCATTTGCTTTGCTTTTCAGAACACCATGAGACTTACAAGAGTTCTATTTTATGCTTCAAAGTTGCCTAAAGATTTCTCAAATTTTCCCAAACGTTATGTTGAACGTGCAATGGAGCAAATTGAATTCAAGACTGAAAAAGAACCACAATATCAGGATAAGGTTATAAAAAGAGAAGTTTTCACCTATGGGCTACACAGACCTTGGACAAGAGAGTTCCTTGAAGCAAACCTTCCAGGGAAATATGTGGAGCAAGATGTTGTTGAACCAATTAAAGAATGGACAATTTATCGAGGAGATAAGGTATTATTATAATTTTTTTTTAAAAGTTCATTTTATTTTCGTAAATCACATGTTTGTTTGTTGGGCCAGTATAACCTGTCTATTAGGGCGTGGGGCCCATGTCTGAGAGATCGTAAATTGGAATCCAGCCGAATGAAGACTTCTTGTATGTAAAATGGTGACTGTTGCAAGCTAAATCTCTCGGGGTCATAAACAAATCAGTACCGCTGGGGGCACAGGATTGGAGATTGGTTTTTCTCTGATTCAGGATAAAACTATGATGTGCAGTTGTAGGAATGGCACTTGAATTAGTCAACAGGCTATGGTGTATGTGTGTGGCAAAAATGGAATTCTAGGCTATAGATGGAGACACTGGAAGACAAGAAACACACCCCTCTGCCTTAAATAGGCTTATTCGTATTTTCAAGTGGCATAAGACAACAATGTGTTTGTTATTTCAATGAGTATTTAAACTTGTTATATTTCTGTGTCATTTATCCCTAGGCTCTTTTTAAAAATAGATGAGCTGTACTTGCTTAAAAATTATTTCTGTGTTTAAAAATTATTGTAAGTAACTTATTTATTATTAAAAATATATGTTTAGCTTGCATGAAAAATGAAAAAGTAACATAAATGTATTAATATTTTTTAAAAGTGTCTAGGATGGTTCAAGGTAATTATGATATTTTAAAATATAAAAGTTGTAAGCTTTTTAAGTAACTCTTGTGACAAAATGTTGAATTGTCTTTTTCTACTTCTAGATATTTTTATGTGTATTTCTGGAAAATTCTTAATAGGAATTTTTTTAACTGGTACTTACATATTATCCTGTCAACCATTTTCGCCAAATCTAAAAATAAATTTGAAAGTGACTCAAATTTAAATATTTTCTCTTTTTTGTATGCAATAAGTTATATTTGTATTATGCCTCTTTCTTTTGTAAAAAAAGTTATTTTGTAAATGTAAAAAAAAAGATGACTTAAAATCGGTGTTGGCAAAAATGGCCGACAAGATGGAACGTAAATACCGAATTTCTGTTTCCTTTTTTTGTGAATACAATTTATTATTGTCAATTTTTTATGTATTTGAAAAAAAAATCACTGTTATTTATTATTTGATTGCAATAATATAGGAAGTACATTTCTGTTATTGTCTTATATTTTTCTTATCTTTCATCTTGATGTAAACATTTTTACATTGCACCCGTCTATACCATTTTTGCAAAAATATTGCATTAAACTATGTTTCAAGTGTTTTATCCTTTTTAAACAAAAATATATTTTTATTTCATATTAAGATGATAACTCATTAAGTAATGACAACTCATTGGAGTGAAAAAAATAGTTGATTATTATGGTTGTATTATTGTTAACGTCTACATTCTTAAGTGATCGTTCTTTTCTCGATTTGATAGTTACTATTAATCAAAATGTATTGAAATGTACCAAGGTAGCTCTTAGTATACCGAGCACAGAATTCATTGTCATTTCATATTCCATCGCTTGTAGCACAATGACGAAAATTCGTCATGTATAATAACAAATATTCGTCATTTGTATTTTACAGTAAATAGTTAAGATGTTTTCTTTTGTTTCTTACATTCAGAAGAAGTAATAGTCTATTTCTAATGACAACTTTTTTCTTGGTTTTAACACAGATATTTACTTGTGAATAGCTATAGTGGTAGTTATAGAAATTTTATTTCTTCTGAATAAAAGGAAAAAATAAATGTTTTTGCCACCAGAAATTTTTTATTTTCTAGATGCGTCATACATGATGAGACCTGTTGTAGTCAAATAAGGCCAGCATTTGGTCAATGATGATGCAATTAATGCTGGACGGGTATATATCTTAACCTTTTGGGTAACATAAAATACTTATTTTACCTAGCTTGCTATTCCAGTACACCTGTTATATTAGAAATAGTTAAACTGGTTAATGAATTATTTTTAAATAAATCAACTAAGTATTTAAGTTAATTTTAATAATAAATTGCATAATATTTTTGTTGTTGTTGCAGGTTCAAATAATGAAAGGAAAGGATAAAGGGAAACAAGGTGTAGTTAACTATGTCGTTGTTGAGAGAAATTGGGTTACAGTCGAAGGTTTAAATTGTGTAAGTTTTTAAACTAGTTTCAACATTTTATCATATTATCAGTAATTTGTTAACTTTTGTTTGCCTATTGTGCATTTCTATTGTTTCTGCTAACTTTCATGAACTTTCCCTCAGATTTTTTTTTTATATTACTAATAAAATATTTGCCTTTTTTAAAATTTTATTTAAAAAAAAATGCTGAATGCTATGTTTTTTTAAATTTAATTCTTGGATCAGAGTAATTTTAAGCACTTCTAAGTAATTTAAATTTTGAGTAATTGTTTGAAAGTTATATTTTTATTTAGTATTGTATAACGTAAGCATATCATAATAATGCACCAAAATATTTTTTCTTTGCTGTTTCTTTTGAAACTTTTTTTTTTATTACTTGGAACTAATAATAAACTTTTAAAATCGTTAAAAGTTTTCTAACATTTAAATTTTAGCTTTTTTTTTTTTTTTTTTTTTTTTTTTTTTTAAATACATTTAGTAAATGGGATATTAATTTAAAGGCTTTTCTACAATTTGTTTATGTAGTTTCAATTTGTATTTTTTTAATGGTAGACAATAATTTTAAAACTATAAGAGCTGTTTCCAATTTTAATAACTTAAGATTAAAGTGCTGAAATATTTGAAGATAAGTTGGTAAAATATTGCATTGACTTATTTTTCCTTCACAATTATGTACATTTGCAATATTTTCTAAACTGCTAATTATTTCTAATGATGTCATTATATATCTTTTTTATGGAAGTTATTTTTACTGTGTTTTGTAAAGTTCAAGAAATTTTATAAAGCTGCTTTAATGACTATGCTGTCTAATTTTTTTTTTTTAAACTAACATCAGAGTTATATGATATTTTTTCTCTCTTTTAAGTAGGAAAATTCTTAGTTTTAATTTAGGGGAAAAGGAAACAGTTTACATTCTTCAATAAGTAGTAAATGTGGTCTAAACATTTTTGGAACATATGTTTGCACATCTTTATGCTATTGTATGAAATTCAGGACAAGGGTCAAAAGAATTTTATGAATTTTTTACCTGGAGTTATGGTAAAAAATTTGCAAATTGCAATTTTCAATTGATTTAGTTATTGAATATTTTGGTTCATAAATTCATGATCATCATGCAACACTCATAGCTGCCAACTCTACTGGATTTTCCAATAGACTAATGGATTTTTTCAGTTTCTCCTAATCTACTGGTTTAATTAAAATTCTTCTGGTTTTTGTGCATTTTAGAAAATTCCACAATTCCTTAAAAATGAATGTTTCTTTAAAAAAAATAAATTAAAATGCAATTTTTATGCAGATTATTGCTTGCTTACTTAAATAAGTATTGCTAATATATAATAAAGCGAGCCTCATTTATAGAAATCAGTTCAAAACTTTTTTTGTTCTAAAATGTTCAGTTTATTTTTATTCAGAGATCTCTTTTTAAATCAATTAAAAACATCTTTTAATATCCTTTGATGAATTAAATGTCTATTAATATTCAAAAATATGATTAAAAATAATACATAACATTTCAAGCATGTTTAATGTCAATCATAACAGGAAAAAATTGCAGTCTTTCTATTTTGCTGACTATAAAAATCACTAAAATAACCTATGTGTAAAATATTTAGTACAATCTACTGGATTTTTTCCTATCCATGTTGGCTGCTATGAACACTGTTTGTGTTAACTTGTGTCCACTTGTTGTGTTCCACGCAAATCACTCATCGTAATTCATATTCACTCAAATTTTTTAAAAGTTTCCTTTGATTGAAGAAAGGTTTCTTTTAATTAATAATTTTAAAGTTTCCTTTAAAATTACCAAAAGTCTCCTCCAGAAATTATGTTGTATGTTAAAAAAAGGGGCAAGAAAACTCATGTGTTACACTCATGTTCATGTGTGTGCAAGTCAAGACAATGTTGACCGATCATGTATAGATAATTGTAATTCTTTTATAGTGTAAAAAGCTGTTTATGAGATTGCTTTTGCTTTTCTAAAAATTTCTGAAATCATTTATTTCCCCTTGGAAAGGTAATGGATGAATAACACCCCAGAGTGATAGTTTTATTTCTCAGATTAAATATTGTATTTTCTGTTTTTTCCACACAACCATTTTAAAGAACTTATTTTTAGGAATATAAATATATGGGTGGCTTCAGAGGTATACCAAAATCTATGGTAAAAGAAGAAAAGCCTTTACTAGTTACCACAGAAGTTGCTCTTCTGGATCCTTCTGATAAGTAAGATGTAACATATTTAAGCCTTTTTGTGGATGAATTTTATCAATATTGGGTGATTCCCTTATTTTATCCTGCATGTGGCACATGAAATAAATATTTATATTTATCAAAAAATATTTTATGAGTATTTATGCCTTAAATATTTGAGAATCAAGCATAATGCTTAAAAATTATTTTTCCATATTTATTTAAAAAAAAACCTGGATAGAGTAAACCTGTAATAGTTTCGAATTGTCTCTTCACCACAAAATCCGGAACTTCAAAATTATATTACCTAGCTCTTCTGAGGCATGCCAAAGTGTGAATTTGGCATATATCTTTTACCCTTGCCTTGCACATAAATATTTAATCATAAATAACTAAAATATTGACTAGGTGCACCTTAAATTTATTATAAATGAAGATTTATAAAATGAGGCTTTTTTTTAAAATTCCTATAATCTTGCTTCTTTTTATTAAATAAATGTTTACCCCAATTTCTGCTCATAAATAAATATTAATGTAAAAGTTTAAATAGAAAACAAGAGTGATATCCCTTTAATAATTTTAACATATGTTTCAAATCTTTAAAGAAATTTAGTGACAGCAGTTTCTTTACATACATATATAAAATTAGTTCTTTTGCTGCTTTATCTTTCTGGGCAGTGAAAAGGAATATGCAAAAATAAGTTTCTTTAAAAGTTATTCAGTTTCACATTCATTGGAATAGTTTCATATACATTTGAAAAAAGATATTAGGCATGCAGAAACTACTTTCAAGTATCATTTTGTTAACTGACATGCCTAGCAGAGCTTGTAAGAATTTTTAGATTTTACGATCACTGATGAAATCACCATATTAATACACATTCTTTTCCCCCCGCAAATATCAGCTCCACGATCTTGAGGTAGCCTAGTAGTCCTTCTTATTTGACAAGTAATCTTTCACATTTTTAATTTCGTTTGATTACCCTTTCGTATCTGTTATATTAAGTTTTCCTCGAGTGGTGGACTGAAAAAGAAGCACTTCCACAGTCTGCTCATTCCAAGAGTATACATACTTAAGATATCTATACTTAAGAGTATACTTAAAGTATATACTTAGTACCAAATGAAGATCATATTCATGAGATCTTTGGCTGCTAGAGTCTGAAAAGCTTGTTTCATATATGTTGCATGCAGGGTTCCCACGGTCCTTGAGAGTCCTTGAAAGTCCTTGAATTTTTTTTTGCATGTAT